TGTACCACTTTTTTTTCCTAGTATACTTTCTGATCTGCTTTAGGTGGAGAGAGAATTGCTGTGCAGCATAGATGGTAGAATCCCAGATTGGTGCAGTGGAAATGTAATGACTCCGTTTCATCTGAAGAGTTTTTCTACCCAAGAGGCCCTATGGAGGCAGGATGTAACATAATAGAAATGAAACTGAATCTTTGCATAATAGTGCATAGCATAAGATAAAGATACATGCTATGCTGCAGCAATTAATGAGTTTATGGACATAATATCTTGATTTATGTCTTTGTTTAATAGCACAGTTAAATAATAAACTATTGTCTGCTCTTGAGGTACTGGAAAATTAATGGACTGTAGCATGTTGCTTGTGGTTGAGGAAATAAGCATCCTGACCTTCCAAAGAAGACCAGTGGGACCAGTGTCAAGAACAGTGCTGAAAGATAGAGGACAGCAGAGACTGTAGCGGTAGAAATAATCTCCTCCAATATAAGTAAGGTTTCATGTGTTTGCTATTTCAGAAAATGAAAATTCTATGTTTATAAAACTCCATAAGAGAAGAATGAAAGACAGTTGGGCTGTTCATGCTAGAGGAGGGACTCAGTAGGAAGAGCCTTTGGTGCATGAGACAGGGAAGAGAAATGCTGGAATTCTATGGAGCCTGAAACACTTAACAGTAAATAATTGATAATGACTTTTACTTTTCTTAACTGAAGTATAGTTAATAGTCAAGAAGTCCTTTGATATAGTCCCATTATATTCTTCTATATTCAGAAATACTGCATGATCATTTAAAGTAATCTCTAGGATAGGATAGCAGGCCTCTCAGAAATTCAGTGTAGTAAGATGTAATACATTGAAAAAGCTTAAGTCAACTGGAGTCAATAAAAATATTTTCTGATATTAAAACAGAAAACAGAAGCCAACTCTGGTTAAGTAGTCATGCTTGTTAATCTGTAGCATAAACCTAAATTTGTAGGTGAAAATCATTTTGAAAATATTTGAAACTAGAGAGGCAGGAACACCTCTATATTAGAAGTGGTTAACAAGGATTAGCAATAGTTGCACAGTTTTTGTTGGATGTCCAAAATAGCTCCTCCTCAGGCTGGCCGACTCTTGTTTCTTCATCTCAGTGCTACTAACAAGTAATAAAAATAACTGCTTTAAACTTGTCTTTCAGTGCATCATGTTTTCACAGTAAAAGATTCATTTTTAAAATGAACTTAAAGCTAAAAAAAGGATGGGCTAGTATTCAGGATGAGTCATGTTCTGGTCCATTGATTATGGTTTATAACCATCTTTCTTTTGTAATGGTCCTATTATACAGAAAATAATATTTTTACAGTAAAGGACAGCTTTCATGCATCAGATCCCATTTTCTATATTACTCTCAATAAAGATGCAATAAAGATGGCAAAGGATTATTTTACAAAAGTTAATTACTTTTCTTTTTAATCAGTACATTTACTAATCTATCTCTTACATGCTATATTTTCTGGCTGTTACTTGCCCTTTTGTATTTCTTGCCATTAGAACTCTCAGTTATACTAGCCTGGCGGAAACTGTATAAATTGTACAACCCAAATTCTCCGCCAAGGTTTGGCTAACCAACAATCTCTTCAAGTGGCTTTGTCTCCTGGGGATCTCTTCATCCTCCACTTTTCCGGGTTATGTGAAAATGCTTGAACCCATAATTTACCCTCATCTCTTCTAAGGTTTTGAAAAAATAAAATGCTTAAATAAGACTTTGGGTCTTGAAAATATAGCTTTATCTGTGAAATGTCACTGTTTCAAGAGAGCAGACTTTGTTCCTCAGAGAGTTGAGAGGATTTTCTGTCCATTGTTTTATTGTCATTTATCCACTGTGATCAGGCATGCTCTTTTTAATTCCTGCAAGGGCTCAAAACAGAAGAGAAAAGTGTGGGAGAAAAAAAGAGATGAAGGAGTGATTTTTTTCTGAGGTTTGGGTTCAATTCCCCGATCTGATGTGGCATTCAAATACTAGGTTTTGTGGATTATGAAGCCTTTGTATTCTTTTGAAAAAAAATATCTGCCTGGCAGGGATGTTACTGAGTATAAATTAAAGATGGCAAAGTGCCTATTCATTTCAGAAAGGGAAGGGGTGGTCATAGAGAAAGGCAATATGCTCATTATTACCTCTCAAAATGGTAAGAGGAAGATTACTTGATTTTCCATCATTAAATTCACACAGCAAGTATGAGGCAGACTGGGAAACTATACAATTCTGCTGTCAGGAGTCCCACATAGGTCATCTTTCCTTGAAATGTCCTTTTCTGACAGAGCTGCTCAGTGAATGGGTTAGCCTTGGCTAGGACTACACCCTGAGTCCTACTAATGCAGCATTGCCTGGTCTATATGGGGAGGAAGGGAAGCTTGGAGAACCTCACCAGGACTCCAAGACATCTGGTAGGACACCAAGGCCTTGGCACAGATCCATGAGACTGATATAACTTGTAGGTTCGTGAGAGATATGGAAGCCTGTCTTCACATTTGCTAATGCTACATGTAAAGAGAGATTACTTCAGTTTTCACCCTTTCGAATCTGCTCATCTAATTATTAATAACTCTTAGCAAAAAAGATCTGCAAAATAGCCAGAGTGGGGAAGCGAAGGTGGAAGAAAAGAACACCTCTTTCCCCCTCTGAAGCCTTAGAGTGAAACCCCAGGATGAAAGGTTTGGGATTTGTGTGCCTGTGAGTTGCCAATTTGCTTCTGAAACTACTTTTTGCTGAAAATGAAAAACTGCACAAAACATCAGGAAGAAAGCTTTCCTTTTTATGTTACAAAACACAAAATGTTATGACACAAATATTAAAAAACCCTAGTCAAATTCGAAGCACATGGCTATTATTTTAAAGAGACACCTATGAGAATCCCTCTCCATATACAGGCATACTCCTGCTCAAGTACTACTCTTTGTCCTCTTTTATTGCTTGTTATTTTCCTTCCAGTGGCCTCAGTTTGTAATCTGGAGCATAAAATTTTCTGTGACTGGAAATTTATGACAGTGAAGCAACACTATGATATAATAAAATAGTGTTTCTCCAGATGAAGACCTTTCCCAAGATTTCCTTCTGCCTCACAATATCTAGAAGAATGATTATCTCCTCGTAGATATACATATATACTATATATAATATTCAAAGTAAATATATATATTTGTATATATATACTTTGCAGAATGTTGCACTTATTCAGAAGCAGCCAAATGACAGAAATATTCATCTGAGGACTCAAGACTAGGCTTTTTTTCCAGGACCAACTGTTTTGATGCACAGGGATGGCCAGACAGACCCTGTCCAGTGAGGCTGGGACAGACTGGGAAAGAGGGATGTCCCCTGTAACCCGTAATTTAGGAAAGAACCTGTGTGACTTCTGTCACCCTGTTGCCAGCTGACCCCCTCTGGGAGGAGATGGGGTTGAGTTGCTCGAGTGGGGCACCTCATGGTGTCGGGACAGCAGTGACAAGATTTCAGTAGCAGGGGATCTCAGGAGGTGACCTGTGTGCACGGAGGCTGCAAACTGCCCTGTACTGGTCACAGCTGGTTCCAGCTCCCTGAAAGTAGTATAAAATGCACAGAAAGAAAATTTAAAAAATCTGGCACTAAAACTTTACTCCATTGGAGGTGAATACAGAGCACCCCTACTCAGACATACTTAAGAAACTCCTGGAAGCACGCTCCTTGATGGAGGGCCGACGGGACTTTATAAACTCATTAAGGTCAGCGGCCACAAGTTACCCATGATGGGGCGGGGACACTCCTGAGGAACCATTGCTGTGGGCGACCAAGGTTGGGGTAGTGACAGCCATGAGGGACCAGGGGTCTGGGGCAGGGACATCCCTGAGGGACTTGGCCATGGGTGACCCAGGGTGGGGCAGGGACATGCCCAAGGAACCGTGGTGATCCACACTGGGATAGGGACTGTGGTGACCTGTTCCAGGACAGAAACATCCCTGAGGGACTGCAGCCCAGGCTTAACCCCCCTGGTGTTTTGGGGAAAATAGTGTAATCTGCAGGAAAAACACAAGAACTGTGACTGGGGAAGGGGGAGGATAGATCTCTATCTATATCTATAAGTGTTTGATTGTGCTCCTTTTCTCCTCATTACTTCAAGAAGCAATTAGAAGTTTGTGTGTTGACTGTTGATAAATTAAATAAATCATTTAAGACCTATGACCTGCTGTGCGTGTCAGGTGTTCCCCGTTGCAGTACCCTACAGTGGGGTAGTCTGGGAGAGGATCTTTAGCTGCTGGAGAAACTGCAATTCCCTTACAATTGCCTCCTCAGTCCTGGCACTTTTTTTTTTTTTTTTTAATAGGCAAGCATAAGCATAGTGAGAAATACTTCTATAACATATCCAGAGTTTCTGTTGTACCAGGGAGCCCTTATATTTTGAATATATGTAAGGATAAAGGATCTGCTTCCTGTTTCACACAGTGCTTTTACATCTGCACTGCTGGTATCAGTTCTTCTGCCCTTCTGATCCTCTCTGCAGGCATCTTGGCATCTCAAAACCATTGGAAATATTATGGAATTAATTTTAGATGAGTATTGGTATTAGAAATCCTATGGAGGTCTTAAGCTTTCAGCTTGCTATTGTAGGCTAATTCATTCATGGCTAATAAAATAGTCAGATTTCCATTGCTCTCTCATTTTTATTGTAGAGAATGTACTATTACTATTTTTGCTCTAAAGACTCAGAGTCACTGTTTTCATCTTCATAATGTCTGGAGGATTTCAGAGGTTTCCTATTTACTAGATTTGTTACATGCTTTATATAGATTGATTATATCCTGTAGAAATGTTATATTTACTGCCATTTTATTGCAGCAATTGAACAACTCAAGGCACGCTGAATTGGCTAGTATTTGAACTGGCTAAAAAGAGCTTTTTCATGTGTGTGAGAACCACTGGGGGTGGTGATCAGGTAATTATATTTACTTCAGAATAGAATTCTTACAGCATCATTTCATATTATTTTTTCTAGTTTTTGAGAGTGGATCAAGACAAAGACAGAGAATGCAACCTGGACTGTGCAGGGTCCCCTCAGAAGTCTCTCTGTGCATCTGATGGAAGAACCTTTCTCTCCCGATGTGAATTCCAGCGAGCAAAATGCAAAGACCCTCAACTGGAAATTGCTTACCGGGGCAACTGCAAAGGTGAGCAAGTCAAAGAATTCTTAATTGTGCACTATGTCCTGTGGAAAATCTCATCTAAAGGCCCTATAGTGTGCATGGGACAAAAACACAGCAGAAGCTAGCACTTGTGCTAGTTTTATGTGCCTCAGAAAGCCTTGCAGACTGATAAGTGTGATGTTCCTATGAGCAAAACTTCCTGAAGAGAAATGAACTTTGAATTCACGTGGATTATCATGATACTTCTTCTGGGTTATAAACAGATTTCACACATGATGGATTCACTGCTGACATAAGCAGGAATCTGTGCAGGGCAGAAGTTAACATGCAGTAAGATGGAAGAGCAAGGTCTTTGGTACCTTGTCTGTGTTAAGTATGATTCTGTAAGTTATCTTGTAGCCAAATCTCCCAGTAAATGAAATGGAAACTGGGACTGACTTTGCAGGCTCAGGCTTATAGATATCTCAGAAATGAGACCTGAATTGTTTCATTTGATGCTTTTTGCTTCCTGCAGTTTGGTGTTTTGGGTTACAGGTGGTCAAAATCAGTCATGTGTTTCCTAACTGTAATCATTAGCTAGCAGAAAGAGATTCAACTGGCATTGTTCTTTAGATTTGTTTTTAAATGTAATCCACCCTAATATAAATCAGTGGTTATAAACTGTAGGAACTTTTGTACATCTGAAAGCTTGTAAATCCTCCAATAATATAATTCTAAAATTCAGTGAAATGATTTGCAAAGCATAAAGCCCTCACAGGCCATCCCTAGCTACATCATCTACCCTTGCACTTCTGAACTCTGTATAAAGAAACTGTGCAACACATGCAGCATTTCAGCTCCAATACTTATAAAGCATTCACAGCTTAGTCTTCTGATTTTTAGAGTATACCAGTGCTAGAGAATGCAGTTATGATAAGAAAAATGTGGCCTAATTGCCTTCTGAAGTATAGGTGATTCCCTTCACAATGATCTTCGTTTTTAAAAGGTAAAATAGCAGTGATCATAAAGATTTACTTTTCCCTTTCTGTTCAAAAATAGAGATAGGGAAAAAAATCCAGGGAGCACACAGACTCAGCCTCTAGGAGGCAATTTTTACATCATCTCTCTCCATTAGCTCCAGTAAGCCTCTGAAACATCAAGACTGCTTCAAAGAGACATTCTGTCTCATCTTCTTCCTAACTGAAACACTATGCTCATTCTTCAGTTCTTTCATAATAAGCCATTGTATTACCTGATGGATCTATTTACTTATGCAAAAGGATAACATAATGAAGTTACCTGAGCCAAAGTTTTTGTTACAGTCATGAATAACAGAGAGAATTATTGTATACTTTGTATTTGTTCAGTGTGTACATTTAGAGTGCTTTACACTTTTTAAGGAATAAGTTTTACAGTTTCATCTACAAGGATCTTTTTCATAAAGATTTGGTGAATTGCCCTACCCAAAGTGTGTCTGGCAATGCTGACAAATTTTGCTGTAGGCAGTCAACAATTCCAATTTGGAGAAATGCTAATTTGCTGTTTATTTATTAATGTCTACCATGTCGCTACAATTGTAGACTTGGAATCAGACACCTTCAGCATCTTAAGTATTGCTAATAGTAAACAGATATAATTCCTTCATCAGCTGGGTGCTTCTAATCTTTCATTTAAATGAATGTAAATATCGCTCTAATGTTTAAATATTTTTCTTTAGTTGTGAATTGACACATGACTGACAGGAATACACATGGTCAGTATCAGCAAGATATTTTACTTTTTCATATTATTTATTTTTTAATCAAAGTAGTCATAAATTTTGAAGGGATCTATGTCTTTATTCCTACCCATAGCTGCAATCATCTGAAATATTTCAAGCTGTGAAAGCAAGTTTGAAGGAAGAAAAAGATGATCCACTGCTTAACTGCCATTTCTGGAGATTTGATGGCTCTGATAGCCCATCAAATCTCCAGAAGCAGCTGAAAAAATCCTCACATCAAGACTCTTTTTAAGCAGTTGCTCTTGAGTGCTGAAATTTATTACTCCATGTTTGCATTCTGCAAAGAGCAGAAGGTTGCTTTAGTAGGACTAAGCAAAAGATTGCAGTTCCATTTCAGGTCAAAATTCAAGATTTCAGAATTTGTTTTCATTCCAAGTTGGAATGAAAATAAATCCTTTTGTAAATTTTTTAATCACTCCTCCTAAAATCAACAACCAATAATTCATTCAAATATGAAATTTTGGATCATACTCTGAGATGGTTAATGCAGAAAAATTAAATGAATGTGTATATATAGATATGCAAGTTATGGAAAAAAAAAAAAAGAGAGAGAAAAGAGGAGGTCATCTGTGATCTCTGTCCCCCACGTATAAGCTTTAAATTTCTGTCTGAAATCCAAGATCACCATCAATCAAATACAGCAGTCTTAAGTGTGAATCTATCTCCTCCTTTCTTCTCAGGGGAAAAAATCCCTCTTGTCCAACCTTCCTACCCTCAACTTGTTTGAAAGTGAGATACTTCCTGGAACCACTTTATTTAATTGAAAACATTATGAGTGGCTTTTTGTTCAGTTCAGTGTATCCATTATAAATCCAAATACCTTCACAACTTATGACCCACAGTCGTCAGGAATGTTTGGACTTCATAATATCTTGTTTATACATTCAAAACTGGGTTTTCTTTTTTACATCCAAAAGAAAGTTTGAACTACCATCAGACTGTATGATACCGGCTTTCTCCAGATAACTCTAGATCTGTCCTTGAAAATACCAAATTTGGACTTATCCAAATCCTTTAGCCTCTTTACTTATTCTCATTATTTGTCTGATCTATTTGTTTTTGATTACTTAAGTGCTAAATCACAAAGAGCTGGATTGCTTTACAGTTGTTTCCTTTCCCTTTTATGCTTCTTAATTCAGGTTTCATTCATAGCAAAATAGTTGTCTGAGGTCCTTCTTTATCACTGCAACAGGAAAAAAAAGTTCATGGCCTGATTTCAAAGTGAAACTATAGAATACATTGATGATCTTTATTCCTTTTTTTTTTCTTTCTCAAGTTTATCTAATTCCAGATGGCTGTAGCAGAGATTGAAATAGCTTAATGTGTTTTTTTCATAGTTATGTCTTTCTAAAGTATAGAAAGAATGAACAAAACTGAAAATGAATAAACTCTGAGATTTCCCCTCAATCCTGAAAAACAGCTCACCTTTGACAAAAGCATAACAATAGACTGTTTTGATTGTTTGTTTATTTGTTTGTTTTAAACAACATCAATTTTTATTATGTTTCTTTTGTTTGTATTCCACTTTCAGGCAGTTCTGGAATCCGTTGCTAAAGTTGGAAACGTTATAAAAAGTCATATTCTTATAAAACTTCCAGGTTCAAATATTTTACATAAAATGTAGATGAACATACATTTTTTTGGATAATTTTCCAAAAAAAAAAAAAGAACTCTGAACTTCTGGAGGTTTTCTATTTACCAGACACACACATTTACTGTGCAGTAAGATTTTGAGTCTATTAAATAAATTTATTTGGACTATTGAAAAGTATTACCTGTGTTAAGGACACTCTTAAAGTATCCCCTGTGGCTGACATGCACTACATGCACACACATATCCCATGCATACTTATATACTTCACAGTAAAGCTGGCCCTGCGTAATCAAAGAAACAAAATGCACAAGAACTGGGAAGGAAATAGGATTGCTTTTAGACAGAGCAGAAGGATATGCAGTCTCTCCCTAGTAGATTAAACACTGCCAGGACATGCTGCGACAAAATAAGTAAACTGGACTAAATAAGCATGAGTCAGTTAGCACTTTCTGAAGGACTGTATGCACATGGCTCTGGAGTTAGCAAGCTCCTGGGACTGTTCCCAGGAGCATACACACAGCCGCTTTCTTTGGGCGTATAAAGCAGTTCAGCAGCACAGCCATGGACTGTTCTTTGTAAAGCCCCTCGGGATGTAGAAAAATTCTTCCATACATTTAATGTAATTAATAGAGAGCCAGAGTACTATATCCCCAATCCTCACATGCAGATGGAGAGAGTTTAATACATAAATACTTAAAAAGAACTGGACTAAATGAAATACTGAGACCCAGACCTTGCTATTTTATAGGACTTTATTGATACATGTGAAGGTAAATCTATTCCTACAACTAATACAACCTAGACCATATGTCCCTATTACTTGATCTTGTTCCATCTGCTATGGTTGGTGAGGTTGGGACTGGAGAACTCTGCATGTAATATCACCAGGCTTCCTAACTTACAAAACAGCTGTTAGTACTCTCTAGCAGTGCACATGAAAAGTACAAATTGAAGTTTGTCTACTGTAGGGCCAATAGTCCTACAGATAATGCAAATTTTACATGATTTGATACATGGCATAGCTTACTTCAAAGGCTGCTGTTTGCAGACTGAAATGCACAAAATAAAAGCTAAAATCAGCTACATCAAGAGAAATGGCAGAGGCATCCTCTTTAGACCCCTTGTAGCTTTTGCAGAGAAAATCTGCTTCTCAGCTCAGTGAGGAGGAAGGCAATGGGGCCCAGGAGACGTGCTGGCTATGCTGCTATTGCCGGTACTCTTTGTTAGTTTCCTGTGTGTAGGAGAGGTTGTCATGGCATGAAAAATTCCCCAGAGCTGGATTGTCATGAAAGTAGGAGAAAGATCTTAGATGAGCTTGTCTACATGCTTGTGCAAACTAGATTTGTATTATTATGCCTGACCCAGCATTGCTCTTCTTCAGGTTTATCTTTTAAATTGGAAAAAAAAAATCACAACCAGATAAGTCCCCTTACAAATTAATGTTATAAATGTGCTTTGCTTTATGTCAGTGATAAAGAGGAATTATGCTTTCCTTCTGTTTAAGGAGCTTATGACATGCGTATTGTAAAATCAAGCTTTGGTTTGTTTTCACAGTGCTTAGGGAGGACTTGTCTCTCTAACTACACTTTTCATTCAATATCGTTTTGTGTCTGGCTTTTTGGGAACTCATAAATCCACCAAAAGCCTGAGGTTAGACAGTAATGCCCTACT